AGTAGAGAATGAGCTGGTCCAGACAAGCAAAGCCACTATTTGTTTAGGGTACTATTTTGACACACACCCATCTATACATACCCCGTGTGTCGCCCTGCCCTCTCATTTGCAACTTGTGCAATTTTGGGGCGTCTCACATATTGTTTCAGAGCCACTTGCAGGGCGCCATGGGATTTTAACGCTTGGCCCTTAATGCTCGTCAATGCCTCTAGTCACTATTAGTCACTGGTCGCGTTTCTGGGCCGCGGTGTGTTTTTGTTTTCTTTTTCTTTTTTTGGTTTTCAGCGAAATCGGGATGTCTCAAATTGGGTGTGGGGTGCCACCCCTTCGGACGGTGAAGAAAACAAAGCCGACCACGCAGGTTTCAGGTTTACAGACATGCCCATGCCTTAGGGTGCGTCTGTTTTGGAGTGCGCCACTTTTTGAGACTAGTTTAAAGGACTTTCCCCCCTCCAATGTTGGGGTTCCCTTCCCACAATTCCCCGAGGGGACCTCCGAAAGTTGCGAACAATTGTGTTGGAATTCCTCAAGGCAACTTTTGAAAGACAACGGTGAATTCCGCCACTTGGACCCCCTTTTTTTCTGGCTTTAATGGGAAACCGAAGAGAAAACCACCAGTTTGGGGGTCCCCTAAAACCAGACCTACCCACATATGTCCATGTTCTGACCTCAACGTCTCTACAGAAAAAAACCCAGGTCGGGATGCGGGATCGCGACCCGCGGCTTGAGGCGGGAGTGAGGGAGTGAGCCGATGCAGAGGGAGTGTTTCAGCGAGCTCATGCAGATGTTTCCTTGAGAATTGTCCATATTTCCAGCGAATCGAGAGTTCTTTGTGGTACCCAAGTGACTAGAAGCCTCAAGCTTGTGCTTGTGGAACATGATGGGTTTTGTGGATCTGAGGCAAACTGCATGGAAAGCCATCTTTCTCGGATCGGATGTGCAAAGGGAATCGTAAAAAATGCAAAGCGGTTTTTGCGCTGCCACGCTCCGCGATACCATTGGGGATCATGTTTTTGCAATCACATTGTCATAAGAATGCCTCATGTCACAAACAGGGCCATTCATTTGCCGCAACCGCAGGTATAAAAGAAAGCAGTTAGTGGGACTCTACAGGAACTCCTTGTTTATTGCTGGGTATTTGGCCAACTTTCCGGTAGAAAATCCTGCGGCTTGTGCCATGGTCGAAACTCCTTTCTGCTTAAGGTTACCAGGGATGGTCATAATGTCGGATTTGAAGCAACCACTATTACAAGGGTTGCTAGTAGGGACCCATCACCATGACTTGCGACAAAGGCTTCGACCAGCCACAAAGGAGCTTGGTAGCTTCCAAATTCCAAGACCATGCAGCAAGACCTGAGTTGGTGCGACCGGAGCCACTGGCAGGAAGAGTCTTCTTTTCGGGGACCTGAAAAGTGGAGCCCCTTCAGTCCCCAAAGTGGACTGAAGGCAGAGGAGCCTTCTGCTCCCTTGGGTCAGGTCGAATTTGTGCCTCAAGAACCACTCGCCCTCTTTCCCGAGAATCCTAGCGCGTGGCGGTTCCCAGCTGGCCGGCCCCTTGGGTTTTTGCTTTTTGCGCTTTTTAGGGTTTAGCGGGGGTCTCCAATTCACCCACAAGTTGAACTTTTAGCAGAGGATCTGAGGACAGCCCCGAGTGCTACGCCCCTCTCGGGAAAGGATCCTGTACACTTCCACGTCGAGGGCAATATCTGGGCAAGCCAGTGGTTTCCAGCCTCCGGGCAGGACCCCTATGCCGGAATGGACAGAGCAGGGAGCCAAGCGGGTTCAGTCGGTGAAAAATGGGCTGGGGGGGCCTGCCAAAAGTGGTGTTTTTTGTGGTTGGGCTCGAACGCAAACGGGTAGCCTCAACAAAAGCAAGCCCGGGTGAGCAGCGCCCACAACCAGATTCAAGGCTTGGTTCTGCCGAGATGCCTTTCAAGGTTTACATAGGCCATGCTACAAGGCCCATTAAACCGGGCTGTGGCACCCTTTGGGAACAACTATGAAAGCGGACAGCAGGCCAACCCCCCAAAGGTAGTCTTCCAACACCCCCAACGACGGCTTCCATGATTGTGCGAAGAAGAGGCATACGTGGAAGGGCTTATACACTAAACCCCCTCACCAGGCCGTAAAACACGTCTCATAGAATCATAGGAAGCTTTGTGGAACCTCATGCTGTGATCAAGGCCCTCTTTTGAGAAGCCTTCTTGCGGCTTCCAGATGGGGTGTCTCCAAAAAGCGGAACGCAAATGGGTTGATTCCTTTAGTGCTGCTTGAAACCAAAGCCAAGAAGAGCAGCACCACCAAAAAAGGGACCACGCCCAAATCCAAGCTTCTATCCTTTTCTCGCACACCTTGGCATAGGTGGCCTGGTCAGATTGAATCAAGGGACATGGCTATGAATTTCAATGGGGAGCTCCTTCCTTCAGTGGTTGGTTGCAGAAGTCCCCACTATTTATGGTGTCCACGAAAGGGTCCCCAATGAAAAATCTTCCCCTTTTGATATAGGCGTTGAACTTTGGGAACTTTGGGAAGAAAGCCATGTGGTTTCTTCGCCTTCGAGTTTTTAGAGTTTAAGTAAACGAAGCACTAAAGCTTAACCCACGCCAGGCTTCACCAAAGCTTGTCCCAAGCCAAGCTTCACTAAAGCTGAACCCAGGCCAAGCCCACGTTTGTTCAAGAGATCCACGAACCACCGGGCAGCACGAAAAATCGTTTCTCGGGGATTCGGAGACTGATCTGCCGTCCGCCGAGGTCCCTCCGCCATATCCGGGAGTGATCACCTCAGTCCGGGGTACGAAGTGGCCACAGTGCACGGGGTACGAAGTGATATCTTCGCTGTTCTTGGTGTGTGGATGTGTGTTTATCGTAGGTGTGTAGTTGTTTGCTGTTCAGTTCTCTTCATTTTTGAGTGGAGGCTGCAAACGCCATGCTTTTGCTAACATACCAGGCCTTGCGAAGGCGTGTACCCTAAGACTGTATCCTGTTGCAGGATTTGAACCCTTCAAAGTGGGTGTTTGCCTTTTGGTTTGCCTTGACAATTGACACCCGTATGGGTATGGGTCAAAATTGAACCACCAGGGGACCGCAGGTTTTAGTCCATGTTTCCATTTACCAGGATTCCAATTTGGGTACATATTTTTGCCCCACAGTCATATTGAACAGGTAGCTACAACCCAGCGGGAGCGGATTCTTAGATGGCAGCATGGCGGTCCTGTTGAGATTCCATGCGGAAGAGCAATAGGGGCCGCGGACACTTGTGGTATCTTGGAGCCGAACCTGAAGCCATGGGTTGATGCCCGGCATGCCTTTAGGGGTTTCCTCATAGGGATCATGGGTTCGGATTCGCCCATCCACCATTTTGAACAGCCCAGGCAGGAAAGCAAGAGAGCCGATGGGAAGGATCCCAAGGAAGCCATGATCCATAACTCCATAACCATGGCACATACATAGGAGCCCCGCAGCTCCCCCCCCACCAGCTTCTCCAAATCAGACCAGGCTGCAACTGTGAAAGTAGGTGGTACCAACTTTCTGGGGGTAAAGTGAATGACGGGAGTCGCACCGCGGGAGGTTAGTTTCACATGGCCCAACACTCCCCCCAGATGTCCCATTGGCCCATCGAGGTCTTCTTCAGTTTCTCGGAGCGGGGGGTTTTGCAGGTTGCCTTCTGGAGACCGGGTGAGGGTGGGGATGTGATTCTAACATGAAAAGTGCTGCACAACACTGTGTTTTACAGTTTTTTTTCTGGCAACACAGGGCTGAGGGGCTGAGGACTAGCGCTAAAACTACATCAAAGGGAGCACCCCTTCTGTGAAATTTCGGGGGGGGGGGGGGCGTTGGATGCAGTCCGCTCAGGACCGCGAGCGCGGGTATGAGGACTTCTACGATCGCGGGCCACCGGCACGGGCCGAAGAGTTGCGCGTCGAGAGATGCGAAATACCTGGCTTCTTTGTGGTGAAAGGGGGAACCAAAAGTCGGTGGGTTTTGGCCGCTGCTCGGTTGGGTTTGTCGTTTTGAGGCTCAGTACCCGTTTCAAGTTGGTTGAAGCGGAAGCCAACAAGCTATGATTGGGCCCTATTTCTGAATCTTTGTGGGACTACTCTAGCTGTACCTTCCCCATTCTCTTCAGGGATGGTTTCTCGAGAGGGTGGGGAATCAAGCCGCTGGTTTCGGCAGCCACCTGGATGTTTGACTTTTATATTTCCCAGAAGTTCTTGGACAGGAGAAGGCTTAATCCCGTACCCGGACCCTTTTTAAGGTTGGCTTAAAGGGAGACCGAAAGTAACACCAGGTGTGGGGTCTCGTTGTTTTGACACATGGCCTTATGATGCTAATTGCACTAGCCCGGAGGATCATACAAATCAGAGGCATCCCGAAGCCACCTTCGAGTGGGTTCCCCCGCGCCTATGCCCTTGAAGGGACCCATGCTGAAGCCCTGGTTGCCAAGTCAGCAGAGTGGTTCTCCGTGCTTGGCTTTGCGGTTTAATCAAACCTCTTTTTCTGATCACGGAAGTCTTCCGGGAGGGGTTTGACCAGTCTAGGCTTGATTGGTGAATGCATCGTGAGCGGTTGTTCACCTTCTTCAACTGTTGGCCTTTTTGGTTTGCATTCCGTTCATCGAGCACAAAGTCTTGAGACCCTGAAGATTCGCATGGAACCCCAAACGCCCTCATACCGTGGATGGCCAAAAATACACAAAACGCATCAGTTGTATCAATAGGGTTCATCCATCCCAACTGGCGGAGGATGCTGTCCGTTTCTTCTCAAGCAAACCCCCTTATCAGGTGCCATGTTAGTGTGAGGGAGGATAATCCTTGTGGTGGGCAGATGGTTGTGGTGTGGTGTCCAACTGCGGGTTAGGATTGTAGAGCGACAATCATGGGCCCCATGACAAATCTCCAAATCTGGGCTACCTGTTGGCTGTCAGTCACGATACCCTGCGCGACTTAACTCACCTGTTTGCCCTTTGGGTTTTCCTTCCTTTTTTTCCATCACCGGTAAAAAATGGTTGGTGGGTCGGATCCGTTTGGCACGACATAGGGAAACCTTCATTTTGAAGAACCCACCACCCACGTTTGAGGCCGACAGAAGGGCCCACCGCGCGCCGGGCTGAGCAGCTGAGCTTTGTTGCACCTTTTGGCCGCCGTTTTGACCTCCCAAAGGTGGCAGTTTCAATGGAAACCACCAGTAAATCGCAAGGTTAGCCGTTTTTTTACGGAAACTTTTGGGGCTTGAAGCTCCGACCAAAAGGGGATGGGTATTGTTTCTTTTCTTTTTCTGTGCATGTCAAAAAAAAGGGACCCCCAATGGTGGTGTTCCTCTTAGTTTTCCCTTCAACCCACCTTAAAGGGGGTACAAACGCAACACAGACACTCAGACACACAAAAACACACATGAATTGTCCAGACCACCGCTTTGGCACGCAATGTTGCATCAAACAAACCTGCGTAGAAGAGTGCAAGAAAATATGCGGAAATCCGGCCGCTTGATCTGCTCCCCGTGAAATACCGAGGGTTTTGATTGTGATCTGCGCTGGTGTCCAGGAGCTAGAGGTTACGTCACTTGAATGGGATTCGGCTCACGCCTTGGATTTGATCCGAGGGACCGCCGGATGCCTTGGATTGGAATCGAGGCGAGGCCCATTTGCTCGCGGCCGCGTTTGGTCACCCGAAAGAATGCCAGCTGAAAGGAAGCCCCATGAAAGAGAACCCACGTTTTCCGAAACGGAGCCTTCAAAAGGTTTGGTCTGGGACCAAGGTCCGAGGGGCAGAACCCACCTGTTGGAGATGCATTTTGCTTGGATGTTGGGACTTTAACTTTTTTGCCAACTAGTGGGTTTTTTCCATGAAACCACTAAAAGTTTAAATTTTAGCAGGGGAGCAGAAAGCAACCGAGTCAACTGTTGGAGGTGAGTTCGAGCGTCACTTCTCCTGCCTTTTGGGGGGTCCGAGGTGGGCCGCGGAATCGAAGGCCTCGGGCGGAGTCTCGCAGGTCCCCAAATTCAGATCCCACCGTCGCCGGGCGCCGACCCGCCCCGGGCTGAGCATTGCCTGGCGCTGACACTGATGAAAGCCCTTCGACTGGGCGCGAAGGAAAAAAACAGTTTTGGGCCAACATAGGGCCCCCAACACTGTGAAACCTGGCACATGACTTCAAGCTGACCTTTTGGTTTAGGGTCCAAAAGACACAGGTGGGTAAAGAACAAGAAGGGGCCCCATGTAACAGCGGGCGGGGACTGCCTCCAAATGCCCATGCATGGTCAAGACCGAAGAGGGTTGGTAACAAAGAACTGGTCTCATGTTCTTTTCTCACTGATTTTAAGCTGTTTGAAATGACCTTTTTCGTGGTATAAACAAAAAGTTCGGACTTTTTTCCGGGCCATCCACTCAGGAAGGGAGTTTTTCTTTCTAGACAGACCCGGCGACCCGGACAACGGAGTCCCACTTCAGGGCCTTGTCAACCAAATGTATGGTTTCCCTGAACATTGGGAGCAAGCGAAACCTGGAGAATCTGTTGCATGAGAATTTGTTCGTTTATTCGCGGCATTCCGGGAACATGCGTTGACCACTTCGTGGGACAGTCCAAGCAAGCAAAGACATCTCCGAGGAACTCTGTGGAGCCCCACCCACAGAGCCGATCGCTCAGGTATGGTGGCTATGACGCCGGATATCCTGATCCAGGCGAGCAAGAGGTCATATACAAATCCATCCGCAGGTTCTGGGGAGAAGCGCCTCACCTTTACAACACTTGTGTGTTGCATACCATTTTTTGTGTGAGTATGTTGTTCTTTTTAGTTTTTTTCCACACACGGACACATTAGGATCTTATAAAACCCCGTTGCACACGCGTTCTTTTGTGCCAAGCTCAAAGCAAGTCACCACAGTGGCTTTTGCACGTTGTGGGACGAGTCTGTCGCTCCAGGGCCGGGTTGTCCATTGGGGGTGAAAATCCATGGGCTGGGATGGGGAGGGCGGGGGGGGGGGGGGGATTTGGAATCAAAGAGAACCTCTCGTTTTCCTTCGAACAGGACGACCCTGAAGCGTCCTTTGGAACAAGCAGCATGCCTAAGACCGTGTTCGCTATCCCCAAACCACCTCGAAAGGGAAGGCAGATTCAAACCACGATTTAGCTCCGTGGCAAGCATTTGATTGAACCTTTTGGAAAATCCAGCTTGCCAGGATCAGTGTGATAGAGACATTCCCCCCCCCCAATTCCGGAAGAAAGTCTCTACAGACTCTTCTGAGAGAAGCTCAGGACCTTTCCTGCGGATTCCAATGGATGTCCGCTGCAGGCTATGATGATGCTTACGACCGGGCTCCTGGCCACATGCGCGATGACCCAGGCGCAGTGCTGCGTCTACATATCTAGGGTTGGATTCCCCCATTCTTTTCAATTTTCTTTCCAAAAACCGGATCCGTTTTCCCTGGGTTCCGGAGGTTTTATAGAAAGAAGGATCCCTGGAAAGCGTGGGGAAGGTACCCCTAGAACATATGTCCGTGGTCAAAGCCCCCTCTCACTTGGCAGCAACGGATAGACCAAATCCACTTCACGCCTGGTAGCTGGTTTATCCATCTGGTGCAAAGTGGATTTGGTCCATCCACGGGATGACCATGAACCAAACTGTTAGGAGTATTCCAACGCCCACGATCCGCATCTTGGGAGTTTTCACCGGAAAGCCCCAGGCCTGTTGCTCTTTGGCTTTAGGTTGGCGCCTTGCATTTGTTGTTCCCACTTTGTGTTTGCTTGTCCCCCGCCCTTTTTTCGCGGGTTGTCCTGTTCACGCTGCCTTGGCCAAATGACTTGCCCCCCAAGAGCGGATAAGGGGACGCGAGGAAAGCGACCGGTCACCATGGGGCAACAGCTTTGACCAAAAGACAAAGAAGGGGTGTGCAGGGCATGGTGCCCTTCAAACCAGCTGAAACCAAGGGGGGAAGCGTATGATGGACACGTAGGGTCCATGTTGCAACCTCCTTCATTTCGTTCTTGTTCCTTCTTTTTTTTTCGGGTTCTTGGCTGCAACAACTCTAGATGTCCATGGCACCGGGGGGGGGGGGGACCCGAATTTTACGTGCATGGGTGTTGCAACACCCCCCCGTTTTTCGTGCCCGCTAGCTTCGGGCAGGCCGTGGATTTGGGGGGTACCCAGACAGAGGCTGGGAGTGGCAAGATGGTCGTTGGGCCCCGGGTCGAGTCAGGTGCGGAGAGCCGCCTTTTCATTTCCTTGCATGGATTCTGGCCGGGCCATTTTGCTACTCGGATGGTCGTCATTTGGCAATGTCAGGATTTCGATTAAGGGAGCCATGACAACTTGACCGCTGCCCGTGGCTCTTATGCTCGCCTCTGTTGGACCATTAGTTGTTCAGAAAGAAAGAAGCAGCCCAACCAATCAATGAGCGCTGAAGCAAACCCGTTCCGGTTCTTGACAAAAAGCGCGGGGTTCGTTGTGTGCAAGTAAAGCTGCTTTTGGACTCATAACATTTGTGTTGGTCCGCCCTTGCCTTTTTCCAAAGGAGGCTTTGACGCACGCCTCCGCTAGTCCCACTTTCTGCCTTCTGTGGGCCGGTTTGTCTAACTGGACTCGACGAATGGTCTCCGGTTGTGCAATCAGAGGTCCATTTCAAACAATCTGATTCTTCGCAATTGCTGTTTGGGGTCGATGCCGGTTCAAAATTGTCCAAACACTAAACACAAGTGCGCCTTTCAGAAACCGCGAACATTTTTGCGTGTGGCTTTGTCCTCAAAATACCTGAAAGGAACAGGGGTTCCCTGCGCTGTCACAAGTTTGGGCCTCCCAACCGGACTGGGCGGTGTGTGATGAGTGAGCCGTGCAGGTCCTGCCTTTTCTCCGGAGGCGCGAAGGTCGCAAGGTATGGGTCAAACTGAAACCATCAGGATGTGGACCGCAGATTTGCGACAACCCATTTTGGGGTACCTATGTTTTCGGCCCGCGTTTCTCTCGAGCCGGGTGGGCTCGATCCGCTTCGCGTGGATGTCCGGAGTTCTGGAACTTGGAAATCCGGCCGAAACTTGATGACACTCCGCTCCCAGAAATCAGGCATGCCTGAAATTTGTTTTGATGTGCTCAAAAGGGGGGGAATCGCGTTCTCGTGGGTACCGCTTATAAGGCTTACAGGGAAACCAAGTGGAAAGAGCAGAAAAGAGGATAGCAAAGACAAGAAGACTGAAAGACTGAATAAACAAAAGAAAACAAAGGCAAAAATAAAAGGAAGGAAGGAAGGAAGGATGGATGGATGGATGGATGGATGGAAGGAAGGAAGGAGGCAGGCAGGCAGGCAGGCAGGCGGGGGAGAGGAGGGAGGGAGGGAGAGGAGGGAGAGGAGGAGAGGAGGAGAGGAGAGGAGGGAGAGGAGGGAGAGGAGGGAGAGGAGGGAGAGGAGGGAGAGGAGGGAGAGGAGGGAGAGGAGGGAGAGGAGGGAGAGGAGGGAGAGGGGAGGAGGGAGAGGAGGGAGAGGAGGAGAGGAGGGAGAGGAGAGGAGGCAGAAAAGAAAGTATTAGACAAGCGGAAACAGGTAGAACAGACAGGCGCAACTCCAAATGTGGGCACAGTTCAAAGCACTTAGCCGACACCACGGGCAGGACAGAGAGAAAGGGAATAGAGAGAGATGGCTTCCATACTGTGTGTGGATGAAATCCATTCGCTGATTCCCCTGCGGATACCAACAAACAAGGGTTTCAACTATGGTTTCACTTCGTGGTGCGAACGGATTTCGCCCAGTACCCATTTATACATCCCTATTCTATAGTGGATGTGCATGGCTTTCCCTTGGAAGGTCCACAAAAGACCACGGGCCCAATGCCCAAGAGAGACCGCGCGCGCGCGCCAGGATGATCGCTACGATCGCATGCGCAGGAGCCCAGGCGCGCGTTTTTTTCGGTTTCCGCCTCGGAGGCTGATTGAAAAGGTCACATAGGGGGTGGCATGTTTTGCGGGTACCCTGTTTGGTGGTTCTTCAAAAAGAAGCCGAAAGGAGACGCACAACTTTGGGCCGAAAACGAAACACCCATGTGTGAACCCATGGCCAGTTTGGACCCTTGCGGGGATGAGTTTCCAGAATTAGGCCCAACACGGTCAGTCAATTAATCCGTAAAGGACGGTCTCATACCGGGAGTTCACGTGTGGACGCATTCATTCAGCCCTTGAGCACCGGGCGCATGCGTGGCTTTCAGGGGCGAACAGACGTGAGGTGGCTCGAAAGGGAAGCAGGGAGGCCAGAGAAATTCGCACCTTTTGGGGTCAAACAATTCCATCCCCGGACCTGTTGTGTGCGAGAGAGAAAGAGAGGGTTCTCTCTATTGTCTGGCTGGGACCACAAAACAGCAGTAGGACTTGCAGCTACGCCGCGTAGAAAGCAGTTGCGGCGTAACGGCAATATCTCAGGCAGCGTAACGCAAAGAAATTCTACGCGGCGTAACTGCCACGTCTCAGCAGAAAATCAGGTTCGGGCCCCTGTCTCTTTTTTTTTTGTGGGGATGGCCATGCCACCCGAGCAACTTGCTGATTTCCAGGCACCAGTCATGAACTCCGCTGGGCTCCGAAGGGAAACAGGATCCTGTTTGGGAACTGCTCGCTTCCCCAAGGATTCATCCACCAAACTCAGGGGGTAAACGACTGGTGCTTGAAAGGAAGAAATCAACTGACCCTCCTGGGTTTGGGCTTATTTTGCGTCAATCTTTTTTTGGTCAGTTGGGGGGTTTTCATTTCGGGATCTTCCCCAAGACCCCGAAGAAGCCAAAATGAGTTGCAAGCAGAAAGTGTGCTCGACAGAGACTGGAACCCCTTGTTGTCATGTGCTCGGCATGCTGGCCCCTGACAGTACCACAGCATCCTGATTAATTTATAGCTGCAAGTTGCCATACAAGACGCAAAATACCATGAAATAAATCATTTCGTGGTGCCAGAGTCCCTGAGCAGGGTCAAACATGTGCAGAAAGGGTCAGAGCAGGCCGGTTTATCGAGCAGCTTTGCCGAACGGGGCGGGTCCCTGTACGAGTGCCATCTCAGGAACAAAGCATGAACATTGCACCATGGACTCCCGCCTGATGAATGTCCCTGGCATTTCCTCGCATGCCTTGGGTTGCTGTTCCCTCGTTATCAAAGCACTCGAGGGGTCAGTTTTGAGGGAGCGGTTGCTCACGAAACCACTTGCCAAGATAGACGATTGATATCAATCATTCCGCACTCGAGAAACCACGTGAGCCTAACAAAAAAGGGATCATCTACTTCACTGAAGATTGAGACCCTCCCCCTCCCTAGACGACCCCCAATCAGAGCCCTCCCAGGCTCCTAGGCCAGACTCGTCCAAAAGGTGTAGGTTCCATGTTGGAACATGTCTTTGAGGCTGGTTCCCAAAACAGGCCGCTCGATTTGCAAATAGAAAGTCTTCTTTGAGTCTTTCATTTTCTTCCGAGAACCGGAGGGAAGGGAACTTGCGGGTACTCATGGCGTGGCTCTGAATCCTTCGAGGACAAGCTTGGATGGGGCTCTCAGTACCCGCCGTCGTAGCTCCTTTGAAAGCAGCCCCTCTGATTGCCCTCCCGACGTTGGCACGAAACTCGCCAAAGTGCTTTCATGATCTTCCACCCCCAGTTAGTTTCCATGGCAACGTCGGTGGGAGGGGCATGCTAATGCATGCTAATGCATTGTTCCTCTGACCATGACCGAATTTGGTTTTCATGTACCCCACAACCACCACTACAATAGCTCAAGGCCCTTGGACAGCCATCAGATTTCTGTCAAGCAGGCACTCTGCAAGAGACAGCTTTGGTTTGGCTGCACATTTGGCATCCCTTGATTTTGCAGGTTGGTAGGGATGGTCAGGGTTGGGCAAATCTGATTAAAACAAACCGACCATGCCCCCTTGGAAGGGAAACGAATTGTTTCGATACGTTCAAGCGGTTGGCCCAACCCTCGTCCCACCTGCGCCTTTGTCTCAAACAACCATGAAGGTTTGTACTGAGAGGCCTTGCAGCCGCATAAAGCCGTCGATGTTGACTCATTATATATATATATATTTCTGTTAGTTTAGGTTCCTTACTGCCCGGGGCTCCGGGACTGATGAATGGCTGGGTTATTGATCAAAAGAGGAGATCGCTCTTCTAGGTACCCTCCCACCAGTGCCTTCTACTCGGAAACTGGATGGCAACACCTTACCATGCGGCGGCCGAACACCTGCGCTCGAAATTTCGAAGCCAAGATCCCGAGCTCCAGGTGGAGGTGGCGACCCATGGGGAGGTGCAGCACCAAGAGATGGTCAGACAAGATGCTTGGGCTTGTCTCAGAATCAGGGAGTCGTGCATCTGCTTGAGTTGTGTTTGCCTTGTTTGTGTTTAAACAACAACAACAACAACAACAACAACAACAACAACAACAACAACAACAACAACAACAACAACAACAACAACAACAACAACAACAACAACAACAACAACAACAACAACAACAACAACAACAACAACAACAACAACAACAACAACAACAACAACAACAACAACAACAACAACAACAACAACAACAACAACAACAACAACAACAACAACAACAACAACAACAACAACAACAACAACAACAACAACAACAACAACAACAACAACAACAACAACAACAACAACAACAACAACAACAACAACAACAACAACAACAACAACAACAACAACAACAACAACAAACAACAACAACAACAACAACAACAACAACAACACCAACACCAACAACAACAACACCAACACCAGCACCAGCAGCAGCAGCAGCAGCAGCAGCAGCAGCAGCAGCAGCAGCAGCAGCAGCAGCAGCAGCAGCAGCAGCAACAGCAACAACCACAACCACAACCACAACCACAACCACAACCACAACCACAACCACAACCACAACCACAACCACAACCACAACCACAACCACAAACCACAACCAACCACAACCACAACCACAACCACAACCACAACCACAACCACAACCACAACCACAACCACAACCACAACAACAAAACAACAACACCACACAACAACAACAACCAAAACCACAACCACAACCACAACCACAACCACAACCACAACCACAACCACAACCACAACAGCAACCACAACAACAACCACAACAACAACAACAACAACAACAACAACAACAACAACAACAACAACAACAACAACAACAACAACAACAACAACAACAACAACAACAACAACAACAACAACAACACAACACCAACACCAACACCACACACCATCACCAACACCAACACCAACACCAACAGCAACAACAGCAGCAACACAGCAAACCAGCACAGCAACAGCAGCAACACCAGCAGCAACACCAGCAGCAAGCAGCAAGCAGCAGCAGCAGCAGCAGCAGCAGCAGCAGCAGCAGCAGCAGCAGCAGCAGCAGCAGCAGCAGCAGCAGCAGCAGCAGCAGCAGCAGCAGCAGCAGCAGCGCAGCAGCAGCAGCAGCAGCAGCAGCAACAACAACAACAACAACCCTGGTCGGTTTTACGGGAATCCAGGACTGGAAGCATGTTTTTGTTCTTTTTTCAGGGGGCGCAAAAGCAAATGGAAGGAACCATTTCTGAAATGGTTGGTGTCCTTTCGGGTTCCTTTTGAAACTAGCCAAAAGGACGTCCTCCACAACCGACAAGCCCACTTGACTCATCAAAGCCGGGTGCATGATGGTTGGAAGACAGGACCCATGAACAATCCCAGCCACAAATAGGTGCGGAGATTTGCCCTTCTAGCTCGAAGAACATGCTTTTGGGTGGACCATTTTGATTCCAGGTTTTGATTCATTTTTATTATGACACACTTGGTGGGTGTCCGAATTCTGAAAACGCAATTTCTTGAGCCTGAGGAGACCCCATCAGAGACAACGCGTGCGCGTTTGGTTTTCTCTCCAAGAAGACATCCGTTTTTTAGGGATCCCTCAATGTTCATTTGTGCGACCCACTCATAAGGAGCCTTGAAAGGAGGTGTTCAAGGCAGGCAAAGCAGGGCGCTGGTTCAAAAGCGGCCATTTTGTTGGACCCCACCAAAGAACATGCAGTGGCACTTTTGGTGCCAACATTGCAAAAAAGGGGAACATTGCACTTTTGGGAACTTTTGTTCCACTGCAATGTAAACTTTTGAAGGGGAACCTTGCAGCGGCACCTCCGTTTTTGTGGCTCCCCGACGAACTGCTATAGCCGCTGGCGAAAGGCGTTGGCCTCGATCAAGCACTCCCGAAGCGCGGGCCAGCGCCCAACAACGTGGCGCGGATCTATGCCGAGGCCGACTTTTTTCGGTTGGGCGAAGAAGACGCCGTGGTGTGTGGGCCAAAAAAAAAACAGCAACACCCTTGGTATGGTTGCGAAAATGCTGTTGGATAGGCAGGGAATGGGAAATGGAGTGACCCTTATGGTTGCAAGCATAAATGACTGTGTAGGTTCCTGCTACAAATTTGCATTGTTGGTTCGAGAGATGCAGGAAATGAGAAATGGAACGACCCCGACAAGAAAAAGCCATCCCCGATTTGGTTTCCTTTCAGGGAATCCCGACTTGTTCATTCCAAAACCCGGTAGGTCATTCCCACCTGAGCGCCAGCAAGAAGATCTACCCATGGTCTCACTGGCCCAAAGTTTTGGCGCATTTTTATTATGGCCCTAAAGGGTCAACCCTTTATTCCTGGGTTATTTGGGCTGAGGGGTTGTTCGGGCACCCCCTGATTGCCCTTGATATCACAGAATTTGGCCCATAGTTTTCTACCCTCAGCGTCCGTTTGTGGGACCTGCACTGGTTTTACCCAGTGGCTCGCAGATGCTAACCAGCCATGTTCCTTTTCCTGGTAGGTTCCGCCACATTGGAGTGAGAGCCCACATCCCGGCCGAAGCCAAAAATCAGGCCGTCCCCCTAAGGGGAAGGGCAAAGTGTGGCTTAAATGCAATCGGGTTCCCTTGGTTGCCTCTGCATACCTGGGCCATGGAGCCCAGGAGCGCCCGGCGCCGAGTCTGCGGAGTCCGGGCGCTGGACCGCCGCAGAGCCCGCAGGGGGGCCAAAGGGCGAGGGAGTTGGTAGAGAGAAAGTGGAACCCAAGCGGAAATGGGTGTGGCGCAACATTCAAGAGCTAGGGCAAACCGCAGGTTTTAGTCTTTGGTTTCTTTTGCCAAGGTGGCATTTTGTTACGTGTTCTTGAGCCACAGCCCAATAGGTGCAGATATGCGTCCCTTTGATTGTTCAACCACATGGGTTCTGGTACCCTTTGATTCTTCAACCACATGGGTTCTGGTACCCTTTGATTCTTCATGGGTCAACCACATGGGTTCTGGTACCCTTTGATTCTTCAACCACATGGGTTCTGGTACCCTTTGATTCTTCAACCAATGGGTTCTGGTACCCTTTGATTCTTCAACCACATGGGTTCTGGTACCCTTTGATTCTTCAACCACATGGGTTCTGGTACCCTTTGATTCTTCAACCACGTGGGTTCTGGTATTCTTTGATTCTTCAACCACGTGGGTTCTGGTAGTCTTTGATTCTTCAACCACATGGGTTCTGGTACCCTTTGATTCTTCAACCACATGGGTTCTGGTACCCTTTGATTCTTCAACCACCTGGGTTCTGGTATTCTTTGATTCTTCAACCACATGGGTTCTGGTAGTCTTTGATTCTTCAACCACATGGGTTCTGGTAGTCTTTGATTCTTCAACCACATGGGTTATGGTATTCTTTGATTCTTCAACCACATGGGTTCTGGTATTCTTTGATTCTTCAACCACATGGGTTCTGGTACTCGTTGATTCTTCAACCACATGGGTTCTGGTACTCTTTGATTCTTCAACCACATGGGTTCTGGTACTCGTTGATTCTTCAACCACATGGGTTCTGGTAGTCTTTGATTCTTCAACCACATGGGTTCTGGTAGTCTTTGATTCTTCAACTACATGGGTTCTGGTAGTCTTTGATTCTTCAACCACATGGGTTCTGGTACCCTTTGATTCTTCAAACAGTCTTTGATTCTTCAACCACATGGGTTCTGGTACCCTTTGATTCTTCAACCACATGGGTTCTGGTACCCTTTGATTCTTCAACCACATGGGTTCTGGTACCCTTTGATTCTTCAACCACATGGGTTCTGGTACCCTTTGATTCTTCAACCACATGGGTTCTGGTACCCTTTGATTCTTCAACCACATGGGTTCTGGTACCCTTTGATTCTTCAACCACATGGGTTCTGGTATTCTTTGATTCTTCAACCACGTGGGTTCTGGTAGTCTTTGATTCTTCAACCACATGGGTTCTGGTAGTCTTTGATTCTTCAACCACATGGGTTCTGGTACCCTTTGATTCTTCAACCACATGGGTTCTGGTACTCTTTGATTCTTCAACCACATGGGTTCTGGTACCCTTTGATTCTTCAACCGCATGGTTTCTGCTAGACCACTTAGGAGGTGGTTTTTGTTCTCTGGGATGCGAGGGGCTTACGGGAACCTGGGCAACGCTAACAATTGATTTTTTGCGAAGTTTAGAATCCGTCCAAGGAATCACTTTTGAATGGTCAGTTTGGGGCCCTTCCGGGTGGAACCCACAGTTGCATCAAACTGTAGATTGGACGGTTACCAACCCACTTGCCCTTACAGAAGGAACCCAGAGCACCAATCTGGGAAGGAGTCTGTAAGCTGCAAGAGCCTGAAATGGGCTGAACACAGCTTGGGCTTTGTGCTAGATGCCCCCCCCTTCTTGGATCGTTTTGAGTGTGCGAAGGGATATGTATGAAACTTTCCTCCAGAGCAAATGGTTTCTCTCACGATGTTTTCGCCAGTTGTTTCCCGGCTTAAGGGACTTTTCAGCTACCACTTCTCAGGGCAGCCGGACAGAGAATCAAGCAGTCCTGGTACCTGTTTGGCACCTACAATTTTCCCAAGCCCTTTCCAAACAGCTTTGGCAGGAACACACTTGCTCTGAGCAAAAAGCACACTGACCAAGCCAGGTAGAAGATCGGCATAGCGTGTTCTCTTCCAGGAACAAACTTTCTACTCGAATCGGGTCTGTGGAGCGAAGCCGGTTGAGAATTGGGTAGCGCCAGTTTCTGTACGTGAATCCCTTTCAAAGTGAACTATGGGAACCCCACGACGGTATCACAGAAAAGGTGATTGTTTTTTATTGTTATTTATTATTTCCGGCCACCCTGCAGCCTCGAATTGAAAATCCACCTTTCTGAGGCAGCGATACGAGCCGCAGGCAGGAGAATCCGTGGCTCGTGGGGATACCCGCGCGGCTCGAGCGAATCCCCGGCGTCACATTGTCTCCAAACGGGCAAGACCCAAATCAACCCCAAAAAGAGCACCATGGAAGCAAATGCTCACTTCCTGAGTTCCTGGACTGTTTTCTGCTTTTTGAGAAGACAACCAGTTTGGGCTTGTTTGGGGCCATCTCTGGAGGCTTGCGACTGGTGTCGTGTTGATATGGGTCATCGCCTCTCAATGCAGGTTTCAGACACTTCTCAAGGTTCCCATGTTCCCATTCAAGAAACTATGATCGTCAAACTCGAACGGAGAGACTTTTCCCATGGCACGTAGAGCTGCCGTCGAGAAAAACGTGAGTGTATGGTGTAAATCCTCATAGCAGTACTTGAGACTGAGCTTGTCTTCCCCACCCATTCAGTCGAGCCCTTTCTAGATGATGGAGCCGGACTATGGCTATGACCCGCCGCCATCGACAACATCCAGCAAGGCCTGGCGGCCTGACATCGCGTCAGGGTGTCGTTTTATGCAGACCAGCCATTCGGGTTATTGTTTCTGGGGTTAATCAAAGTCAGAAACCGGGGTTTCTTCCCTGTATCACTTAGGGGTAACTTTGACAATGGTAAGATCACGGGGCCAGAGCGAGGTTTTCTGTCTTCCTGTCTCTCTCGCTCTCTCTTTGCTTCTTCCTTGCTTCTTTTCTTTTCTGCCTTCGTTCGTCCGTTTGGCCCTCCTTCTTTTCGTCCCATTCTCAAAGCAGCCCGGGCCGAAAGAAACCGAATTCGGCCGCCGCAGGGCGGGCGAGCCAACGCCCGGCGTCCTGGAGCTTCGAGCGTGATCTCCAGTTGGGTGTGGTCATTTTTGTTGAAAAGAGCCGTTTTGATTCGGGCTTTAAAGGAAAACCAGAAGGACAAACCAACATTTTGGGGGTCCCACAAGAAAGACACGGCCATTTGAGATGAATTCAATCACCACGGAAGATACCCAGAAAAACGCAAGGGATTTGCTTAGGGGTAAAACGAGCTCGCTAGATGAAGGTTAGCGGGGCAAGTCCTAGCCAGAAATCGGTGCTGACATCCGCCCTCTCTGATTCTGGACATGGTTTGGGGCAGCCCACTTCAGTACCAGGTGTTGATTTGTGACTCGTTTATATGCATTCAATCCCCAACCAAGGAAGATACTCAGAAAACGCACTTGTGATTCCCTTTAAGGTAGAATGCAGGTTTTACCGCTGGAACTTGTCCCAAGAAAGGAAGCGGACTGGAAGATGACCTCAGCTGAGAAAGATTGCTTGTCCATTTCCATTTTGGAAGAGAGTGCCTTCAAAGCAACACCCATGGACTCGCTTCCTGGGACTTTTTAGCTTTTCGGGAAGACCATTTTAGTAAATACCAGGCTTGGTCGCTGTTTTGGGCATTCTACTCGAGCGAGCCCACTTCGACAGGTGGGACACCTTCCCTTGGTGGGTTCCATGGGAGGGTCGTTTGCGAGGTGCGCGATCCCAACGCCCGAAGCTGAGCTGCAGCTGTGGTTTTGACTTTGGCCAAAGACATTGGGACGTCACTGGGCGGAAGATCCCAGTCCAGTTCAAACAGGTTCTGTGGAAGATCCTAGGGCATTCCCTACTTGGTTGTGGAAGATCCCAGTCCCCTATTGAAAGAGTGGGGGATGGGGAATCGAACACTTTGGTATCAGGCCCACACTGGTCAGGGGTGGTCCGCCTTGACCAGGGACCCCGCAAAACGAAAATAGGTGCTCACGAGTGTGCAGGTGAATCGCTGCAGTTGCATGCCCTTCCAGACAGGAAGCAGTTGTTTGTGGGGAGGGGATTTGGAAATGAGGACGGATGGACAAACAGGTTCTATGGAAGATCCTAGGGCATTCCCTTCAAAGAGTGCGGGAATCGAACACTTTGGTAGGCAAAAGGCACACATACACAAGCATCGATGGAGGTATGTTCAGCTTCGGATGTTTCCAGGGGACCACAATAGGGGTGGTCCTGGGAAGTAGCTCATAGGGGTCCCGATTCCTCGGGTGCATGGATAAAGCCCCGCGAAAGAAGACTCGTTGGTTTTACCTCACGTACCGGCTGGTGCAACTGGCGCTCGGATTTGGTCCATCCGCAGGCTGGCTCCTTGGGGGGCTTGTTCGGCAGCGAACCGCGAGATCCACCGCCCAGGAGGCAGAAATTCAAGACGCGATGCACGCGGGAAAGCTAGATTTTGGGTTGGCCGTTTGCTATGACACCAAGAGAATCATAGTCACAGGGATGGCCCACTCTAAATATCACAAGGGCTATTTGTCTCATGCTCAGATGAGCAGCTGACAAAATGATTGGAGACTTCTGCTGGCTGGCTTTGGGAGCGCGAAAAGGGGGCCACACAACAGGGCCGGGCCTCAATTTCCCTGCGTCCTTTTGGGACCCTGGAAGTACCACCTGTAAGATGGGGTTGAGGGTACCCTCCCCTCCAAACATGGCACATGACAGAGGGTCTCTTGAGGGAATTGAGTGCAGCAGTTGTGAAACGCTCTTGAGACGTGGAGTCGGAGGTATGTGTCTCCCAAGAGCTGCAGTTGCGATTGGGTAGGCCAAGGCCATGTTGGATTTGGGTGTGCCTTCTTTGAGGGTAAATTTCTGGTTTGTGGCTTTCCAGGAAACCAAAAGGAAAAGTACTATTTTGGGGGTCCCAGCAAACACGACAGATCCTCCCAAAGACGGGCCTCTGCTTTCACCATGCCAGGGAGCGAAAGGACCCTCGAGACTACCCGGAGCCGGTTCGAGAGCAACGAGGGCCGAACCGGGTGCGGGAGAGCCTGGAGTCACGGCCAGACTCAGTTTACCTTTTCATTGTTTGCCTTTTGTGGTTCTCCTTCATTTATTTGGAGGCTTGTTTTCCTTGTTGTTCGGTTGTCCATGATTATTTGGAGCTTTTCCTTAATTTGCTTCTCAAACGGAAACAATGTCGCTTTTGCGGGTCCAAGTCTGGCCAGGATTGGGATCCACGCGATCGACACGATCCTCGGGATCACGACCCACAAGAACCCCGGGATTCACGGGATCCACGCGACTGGGATGTGCGGGATCCGCGCGATCGGGATCCACGGGATATGCGAGATCCACGCGACATGCGGGACATGCGAGACCCTCGCGATATGCGGGACATGCGAGATCCACGAGTCATTGCCGGACTTAGATTACATTCTTAATTCTTTGCCTTTTGATTTGCCTTTCTCTTCCTTGTCAACCAGAAGGCTTCCATTTGCTTAAGAAAGTGTTTTATTTGCCCCTGTTATTTTTTAAAGGGAATCTATCACTATTGACATATTGTTATTTCTTCCAGGGGCTTTAAGCAGTGGAGGAAGGTTCATTTTTTGGTTCCGGCCTAGGAGATATGCGGGATGCACGAGACCCGCGAGACCTGCGGGATGCGCGCGACCCGCGTGAGATGCGTGATGTCCGCGACCCGTGCGAGGAACCGGAGGAGGCGAGTGGCTGGTGGGTGTTCAGGAACCCGGGAGTTGTTTAAGCGAAACCATAGCCTGTCTCCCGTGGGGGAACCAACCAATTGTTATCCAAACAGTACGGTTTAACCAAGTGTAAGGTTCAATACGACAATTAAAGGCCTGTTTGGGTGATGGAGATAGAGGTTCCATGACTAGAGCTTTCTATAGCATCCTCCCTCAAACAAACACAGAAGTTGACAAGCCTGTTCCGTTCGGCATGACGGCTTTGAAACTCACTTGGGAGTTGACAACTCAGTTGGCCACAGACATCAATGGGTTAGGCCCCACCCGACCGGGAGCCGGTTCCCTTCTGGATGGCTTTTGAAGGGCAGCCTAGGGGCCGCCAAATTTGGTGGACACTGGGCTGGCTTTGACCAAGTTAGAGCACTTGAACCGACACAGCATCTTAAAAGACTAGGATGGATGTGCTATGGCAATTTAAGACCTGAATGCTAGTCGAGTCGGTCATCAATCCTTTAGGTTGTTTCGCAAGCCACTGTGGCTATGAATTTCGACGGCAACCCCTTTGAAGGCGGTTTCGCATTGGTGGGCGCCTCGTGCCCCCCCCCCCTCCCCCCAAAAGGCCAATGGCAACCGGTTCAGCGGTTGCGATTTCTTACCCTTGAAGGTACAAGCAACCCTTTCGGAGATGGGATCTACACTTTTAGGCGGTGCTTGATTTTCCTTGAAAGAGCTTGACCAACAAGCAGAAGGGCAAACTAGAAGTTTCAAGCACCCTTTTTCCGGGAGCCCCGAAAAAATGGGTGATCAGGTTCAGGGTTTCCTTTTTTATTTCTTTTTTAGGGTGTCCCCTCCAAGAAGACGTCTTCTCCAAGAAGACTTTGTGCAAGGGTATGGTCGTGGAACATGGGCTGGGCCACTTTCTGTGAACAGAAGTACTGTGGATGGACGAAATCCATTTCGCACCACCTAAGAATCACAGTATCTACAGCAAATTGGCCAAACACCCGTCAAAAGGGTTTCCCATTTACGCTCTACAAGAATCAGGGACCCCTAAATCCAAATCCAAGCCGGGCTCCAAACCACCAACCTGACGCCTTGCAGGCTGCTGGCCCCTCTGGTGGTTGGCGGGGTGATCTCTTCGACGACGGCGTGGGGCCCGGGTCTTCTGCCAGCGAGCACGAGTCGCAATTGGACAGTATGAGCCACAATCAAAACCCGGGTAGATGAAGGTTAGTAAGGGACAATCCCAACCATAAATTGCTGCAGCCGCCTTCTTGATTCTTTACCTGGTTGTGGGTGGTAGATGCGCCAGACAACGACAATCTGCAAGGGGCAGCCTTCTGTGCTGCAGGGTGTGCTGAGGAGTTGTTTCTGTTGGGTCGATTGACCAGTTGCTGCATGTGGTAGGTTGCCCTTACTTTGGGGGTTTGGATTAGTGGTCTGGGGATTCAAGCCCTGGTTCTTTAAGCTAACCCCGAAAGCACTTATTCCAACCACCAAGTGGGTATGGGTCAAAATTAAACCACCAGGAGACCGCAGGTTTTAGTCCTTGGTTCCATTTACCAGGGCTCCATTTTGGGCACCTATTTTTGACCCACAGCCAAGTAGAGGGAAGCCTAGTTGTTGCATGTTGCTGCATGCTGACGGCCTGCTTGGCACTGCGGAGGCCCCAAAGTGCCGACAATGCCCCGCCCCAACGGAGGCCCCGGGAGTGCGGGAAGCAGTTTTGGATCGCTTGTTGGGGCCGTTGCACCCAAAAGGCGGTTTTTCGTCTCAAAGTGGGTTGCAACTGGGTGTCCAATTGACTTTCCTGAAA